CATTCTAATAAGAAAACAATCAGACTAGTAATTAAGTGCTTGCTAGACATTTATAATAACATAAATTTATTAAAAATTTATGTAAATTGCTAATTTTAAATTGTGCACATGCGGAGATGAATTTTGAAATCATATGAGCAAATCTCCCGAGTTGTTACATTTTTCAGCCGAAAATGGTGGTATACCTATATTAAGGGCATAAACAGACGGCAACGTCAATCCAGATCAACTCGGGAACTAACTGCACTTGATGCGGATTAAGTCCGAGTTAATCGGGTTCAACGCTGTTGTCTGTTTTTGAGCTTTAAGATAATGCATTATCGTCGGCTTTGTGTAAAAAACAACGCGAAATTGCAGTTAAATGAAAACTTAAAAAATATATATTAAAAAAAAGTAAAAATAACAACTCGTGCTTATGTACTCGTAGTTGTGTATGTAACGTATATGCCGCGTAGTATCATACATTCGAATATGAATACGGTGACCAGATTTCTGTGGCCAAAAATCGGGACATTTCTAAAGCATCGAATCCGAACATACAATTCTGTTTTTAGAATAAAAAGGCTGAATACAGTTTTATTTGGTACAAAACAAAGAGAAAAAAATTTAAAAATTTTTATTATTTTTTTATGAAAATATAACTTACTATCTAAAAAAAAAAAAACAAGTAAATCGAAATTTCAAAATTTGTAGAACATTTATAAAATTTCGACGAATTTGAATAAATCCTCATCACGATTTGAAACATTTTAATCAGATTTTCTAGCATTGTTTTGAGTATGTAGTTTTGAAGCCCATTAAATTTTAATATAATAAAGTGCAAGTGCTTCATTGCATACTGTGTATGGAAGAAAATGCGCGAACAAAAAATTTCCAATAATCAACGCCAACTCCAAACTATTTCAAATTGAATTAAATCGATTACAAAACTGTAGAATGTTTCTAAGAAATCTAATAAAAAAGCGCAAAATTTTGATGAAACTTTGTCGAGTTTTGCTAATTTTTGTACAAAGTTTCAAATTCTGACTTGCTTACTTAGTTACTTGTCGTTGTTAGATAAGGAGCTACACTTAAAAAAAAAGTATTTAACATTAAATAATCGAAAGGGGAATACCCAAAGGAAGTTAAAATGTCTCTTCCCTATTTATATTTTCGCCACTCTATCCACAGCTTATGTTTTTAATATCCACGATTGTTTTGAGGGTATTAGTGTTATTTTTCATAATTTCATTAATTATATTATTATATTATTAGCCAGTATATGTTTTGTGGCTCACTTATATTATATGGCCGTTGTGATAACGAAAGTGATGCCTCGTTTGTATAAAAAAAATTGTTTTTTGGCCAGAGTACAAGGAGAGTTTTAATAAATGAATAAAGGAAACACTGAAAATCGGGACTTAATCGGTACAAATATGAAAAATCGGGACACTTATACGCCCCGACTTTAAAAAAATATTCAACGGGACAATTTTCTCAAAATCGGTACTGTGCCGCCAAAATCGGTACGAACGGTCACCGTAAATATGAATATTCTATTTGAAAATGTGTTAAAGTCATTAAAAAACTAATTGATTGAAATATATGCAAGAAGAATGCTTTAGCGTTTTTTTTTTTTTGGCGAGCGAAGGAAGCTACACTAAAAAAAAAAAGTCGTGAAATTTCCTCATATATGTATATAGATTACCTTTTAACATCGAAAAGGATCGCTTAATCCATATTGTGTCACAAAGAGCTTATATTACTCTCTTACTCCCCAACCATTCCAAGCTAACATAACTTAATGGAAATAAAAGCCTTGATGTTGATCTTATTGGGCGATTTTACGTTCAGCCTAACCTATTGCCATTCACTTGAAAAATGTTTAAAACTGAAATTTTTCAAATCCTATTAAGTAATACGAGACTTAACTATAAAAGAGAAAGTTTGTGAATGAGTATGTTTGTTGGTTTTTCACGCTAAAACGGTATTTCTATTAAATTTGTCATATAGATATGCTATAAACTGGATTAAAATAGAGGATATTTTTTTAAGAGAGTTCCCACATTTTTGAAAAGTTAAAATTAATTTAATAAAAGGTTAAATGAAATATTTTCATATGGGTGTCAAAGGTAAGAGGTATAAGAAAGCTTTATTTCGACAATATTTTTCAAAGGGGTTACCACCTGTTTAGAAATTGTCCATTCAATCAATTTAGTTTACAAGTTAGAATAAGGATTTTAATGTGGGTATAAAACGAGAGGGTTTTAAGAAAGCTTTATTTCTAAAATATTATTTAGAGGGTTGCCATCTGTTTAGAAATTCACAGTCAATTTAATTAACAAAATAAAATAAAAATAAATAAAATTTTTACGTGAGGTTAAACGAGGATAGTTTTAGAAGATTTATTTCCAAAATATTTTTTTGATTTTTGAGAGACTTGCCACCTGTTACGAAATTCAAAATCAATTTAATTAAAAATTAAATGAATGGTTTTAAGGGTGTCAAACGAGGGAGATTGAAGTAAAGATTTGCCTCTAATATATACTTTTTTTTACGAACCAAACTATAAACAGTACTTGAGAAAATTATACTTCTTAAGTATTTAAGTAATCAGTCGGTTCATTCTTCGAAAAATTGGAGTGGTAACTAAAAAAAAAATCATTATGTACGAAAATGTGTTGTGTAAACATTTTTCATTGTGAGGAACCATTATCATCGTACAAATCGATGTGATACTCTTTAAATTTCCCTCTTTCAAACCCGGAACGATCCAAATTTATTTCTGGCCAACGTCTTACACACTTCGTCAGAACTTCTTAAAACATTTTTGAAGGAATGTTTTAACACAACAATAACACGGCGTTTTGAGTTGTTCGAAGACACAAAAAATTCACAACCTAATTTGACAACAAATGACGGAAATTGGATCCAAAACACAACATAGACGGGTTTTTGTTGATGGAACTGTAAGCGATTTTGAAATACAAAAGCTACAAAAGTCGTGTCGATGTATGAATTGATTTAAGTTTATTAGTACAGTCTCGAATATGCTTCATGTTTCTAAGGATTTGAGTAGTTGCAGCTGAAGAAAGATATTGGTATGAATCTGAATTATGAATATGTAGTATGTATGAATGTATCTACATAGTTTAAAAATCTTAAGATATAAAATTTAAACTTTTAATTGCCCAACTAAACACAGTTGAAAAAAAAATTATGATCAATATTAAAACTGTCGACAAAACCGAACAATTTCAAAACACACGAAATATCCAATATACTCCCGAAACTAGGAGCCAAATATAGTAAAACTGCGTTTTTAGTCTTTCTTGTTGAAGTCTGTTTTTTTTTTAAAAGAACTTTGAAATTTCAAAGCTATAGTTTATTCAAAAACTTACTTTTCAAAATTCAGAGAACCTTCGCCAGTATTTAAAAAAAAAAAATATGCCCAGAGCGAAAAAGCCGGGATCGAAAATGTATTTTAAAATAATTTTTTGTATACTAGACTAATAAATTTAGCAAGACCAAATTTGAGGTTGTGGTAGTGCAAATATTAGTACTTAGCATACATATATTTTTCAAAATATAACTATTGGAAATTTTCAAGAATATTCAGGTTTAAGATTTTAAAAAAAGCACTTTCATTACATATTGGTCATTGTGTACCACAAAATTTAAATGTTTTTCAATTCTGGCGAAGTTTTGCTTTTATTTGATATCCATATTTTTATTCTACATTACACTTAATTTTTTTTAAGCAATTATATCCTTGAAATTTCAAAGTTCTCTAAAAAATGCTGACGTTAGAGAGAAAAACTAAACTAACTAAGTATTATTGATTTTTTGTGTGTAAAATTTGCTGTCGCGCGGTATAATCATTTACAATTAAACGCAATATTCAGTTTTGGAAAAGAATGCAACAAAATGCGCCTTTGGGGCACACCTATGCAACAGCCTACAAATTTCACGTATGTACTTAGAAATGCGTTCACCTTCCGCCACTTGCCAAGAAACAATTGGTGAGACAAGCAGGAAACATTGCACGTAGTTGTGGTGAAAATGCATAGATGTCACCAGCATATACTGCAATGACAATGGTGAGGTGAGATGATAATACAAGTGCCTAAGTAGTGCCTTCTTTTTATAATTTTCTTTACCCTTCATCTTATTGACACAATCAAATGCACTTGAGCATAAAAACGTTTGGTAGGGAAAGTGAGAATGAAAGTGAAACTGAAATTAAAATACCTACATGAAATAAAATTAAAAAAAAAATAAAGAAATTACGGTACATTTAAAAGAATAAATTGTTGGTAAATACTAGGTGGTGGTGGTGGTGGCTGGCGTTGGTATTTTACACAACAATGGGACAAACTGTATACAAAAGTGAATTTCAAGGAAATGAGAAGAAGTGTAATGGAAATAGGAAACACACAAGTTAAAAACAAATAAGAAACAAGGTGAACACATAAGAAATGTGACAGTTAAAGAGAGAGGGATATTGTAAAACATAGAAATTGTATTGTATAAATTTTGTTTAATTTTTTTCTATTTTTTTTTTTTTTGTTTGTTGGTAGTGTTTTTCTGCAACTTGCCCTTTTACAATTGTGTTGTGTTTTGCTTCGTTTTTTTTTTTTTTGAATATACGTTAAATAAACAATTTGCATTTGCAAATTGTATTTGTATTTGTATTTGGGTTTTATATGTAAGTATGTATATATAGTTTTTTTTTTTTTGGTGTACTTAAATAAAAAGACATAAAAATATATACTCGTATGCAATAAAAATATGTATGTAGTAGAGAGAGAGAGATAGGTTAAGTTGTTTAAATTTAAAATATTATACGTATGTATGTACATATTTATAAATAAATAGTTTTATATATTTTAATTTAAACCAAACGCAAAACAAATAAAAAATCCATATTTTACATACATAAATAGTTTAGTTATAGTAGATAGATATGTAAATTAGTTGGTAAATTGTGTGTGCGCATGATATGACATTCGGGTACTCACCAGCATAAATCGCTAAAAATATCGAGAGGAATGAAATGACGCTTGCCAAGAATTTTGCCTCCATCTTTGGTATTGATCCGTGGTTTGTACTTTTATGCTTAGTATTGTAATTATAACAATTGCGATTTTTACAATTTCTTTAAACTACTACTGTTGTTGTTGTTGTTGCTGTTGTTGCTTGGTTGGTTGTTTGTTTGCTGGCTTGATGATTGGTTAGTTGCTGTTGCTGCTGCTGCTGCTGCTGCTGGCGCTGCTGGTGTTGATGTTGCAGTTTTTTTCTCCCCTTTTTTGTTGTGATTGGCTTTGCTATTTTGTGAACTTGTTTTTTTTTTTTTGTTATAAAATATTGTTGCCACGTCTGTTGTTGTTGTTGTTGTTTAATTTCTATGTATTTTTGCTGCAATTACTGTAATTAACGTTTCAAATTTGGTTATTAGTTGTCGCGATTTGCTTCTTGCTCTTTGCTGTTAATGGCGCTAACGTAGGCGGTTGTAGCTTTTTTATAGGTAGTATATATATGCACATGTATGTACTATCTACGTATGTATGTAGTATATATGTATGTACATATGTACGTCTACATATAATACATATGTCGGTGCTATTAACTTTTCCTACTAGTATTTATTATAGATGGCTTGTAATTTTTTATTTTTTTTTTTCTTGTGAATTTTCTCCAACTTTATCTTGCTGCGTTGCAAATATTTTTAAAATTTTGAAATTTTCTTTTCGTTATTTTCTTTAGCCTTGAATGGATTAGCTCTTTTCAAATCGCCCTTTTTTGTGTTTTAATTTTGCGTTATGCCAACGTGGTTGTCCCGTAACATACATAGATGTATTTTATTTTTAATTATTATATTAAATTTACATTTAATTTTCTATAATGAATCCAAAGTTGATCGTCGTCTTCGTCGTAGTCGTCGTCGCAGTTAAACGAGCTGCATCATTTTGTAAGGAAGAAAACGAAAAAAAAAAATGTATATTTAATATGAACAAAGAAACGTTAATCGAATAGTGACGACAATGTCGACGACGACGTTGGCGCGGCCAGCAACAGCGGGAATCACGATGATCGGCCGAGATTTACAGGCGTTTTGTGGCCCGCGACGATGACAACGATGTCAGTGCGCCAAAAAAAATTGGAAGAAAAAGAAATAAGAAGAGAGGAAAATTTATTTAGTTAGCACTTACGAGTATGTGCACTTTTTTTTATTCGGAAATATTTTGTATATAAAAAAACGCGTTTTTATGGTTTTTAATTATTTTTTAATTGATGTTCAAGTGTGTGTATTTTTGTATGTTTATTTTGCAATAATTTGTTTAAATCATTTAAATCACTACATTTATAGGGGTAGTCATGGAGGGAGCAGAAAAAATTTCTATAGCACGCGGATACCGTTATTATTTTTTTTATAAATTAATTTATAATAATAATAATAGATCGGCGCTTACACACATGTTAGTGTTTGGCGGAGCTATATTTATAGGCTTACCGAAAAATGAAATTGAAGATGGCACCAATTCTGATAATTAATGATGGAAATACGTTCCAAAATACATATCGAGCCCTAACCGCTAAAAAGACGTAAGCGACATTTTGTTAAAAATTTTATTTTTTACTGCATCAGAAAAAAATGTTGAAAAAACTCTGTTTGGCGGTTAGGGGCTCGATATCATCCCCTTTCCACGTATCTACGTTTTTGCGAAAACTATTAGAATCATTAGGCCCATTCAATATCAAAAAATTTTTACCAAAATGCATTCAATAACCCAACAAATTTGCGAAGGAGCGAATTCGAGAGCGTAACAACCCGAGAGAGCTATGAATTTTACTACAAATTCCTGCAGGAGACAAAAAGTAAGGTTATATTTCAAATTCAAATGTAAACAAAGTTTTTAAGAGGATTATTTGATGAAACAACAAACAATTAGCGAAATGAAAATATGAATGAACAATTTTAATCTAATGTATATTTTTTTTTTATTTTTATGACGATGGGAACTATTTCCAGTTAAAAAGAAATTGCGCGCCAAAATTTAACCGCCAGAAAGTGTCAAAATGGTGTCAATTTTGCTCTCTATTTTTCTTTTACGCTTAAATGAGTGCTCGCTAGAACTCGTAACTCAAAAAATATGTCATTCAGATTTTGAATGTCCAGATTTAGATAGGTGTAGAGATTTCCGACCCTTTGCAGTTTAATAGATTACAGCTATATTTTGCAGACATTTTTTAAATGCTTGTTAATTCAGTTTTCCGGAGCGTGCATATACGTTCCCCCAAATCCTCCAAAATATGTTAAAACAGTTTTCGAAATTCCGACCATATATAATTTCTACATTTCTCACCGCCTCACGATAGAACTGTGCTACGGACAAGCGGCAGAAAGGAAGAATGCAAGGAATGATCGAAAAATAATAGAAAGAATCAATGTGAACAAGCCAGGCGCAGACACTATTTGTTGGCCATCAACCGTTGACCGCAAGTCACCTCAAAGTACGAAGCGAACGAATAAAAAAAAAATTTGCACGTTGTACGGAGCGGCGAGGAGGCGATTGCGCTCACTAGTGTCTACACATGTAAGTACTATTACACACGCACAGTTTGGTACAATTTGATTTCGACTACACAATTCACACTGATTTTGTGCATAAAATAGACTGATAATTTCTATTTTTTGTTTTAAATGTTTACTCTTTTTTTATTAAATTATTTCTGTTTCCATTTCTCTTGGAAGCACAAGTAAACGAGAACTGAGAACTGAGAACCGAGAACAAAAAAGCAAGCGGACACGACAACGGCGAGCACGATACTGACTGACTATGAGTGTTTTCACAAATAGAAAAACACTACACCACCCCGACGAGAACAAGGAATCGAAATCGAAATCAGCGGCAACGCCAACGGCGACGACAATGACAATTACGATGACCACCAGACAAAGAAATGAAGCAGAGTGTGTAAATTATCCACAACAATATAACAGCGGACGATAAAGCAGGAGAAATGGCGAAAATAATAGAACTATGTACTATCGATATATAGTAGACAAAAAAGAAAAAAAAACAATTTTTTTTAACTGAATATTAACAGTGGAAGGCCGATAAACATGAAAAAAAAAAATGCAAAATACGGCGCGACGCGGTGACACCAACTAAAAGCCCAGAATGATAGCGACGATGGTGGTAGCGGTGGCGGCTAGGAGCACAACATTCGCGAACGACCACAAATGAACGACTAATCATGACCAGAGTAGCGAAAACGGTATTCGCAAACAACCAGCAGGCAAGGCGGGCGTTAAGGCCACCACCAGCTTGAGAACATGCAAGCGATTATAGCGAGCAAGCGGAGCATTGTTAGGCAGAGCGTATAGACACGCGAGCAGCAAGTGAGCTAATCAGCAAAGCGTTACTACATACAGTGCTCATTGCTGATCGGCTACCGCTACATATCGCTTATGTATGTATTTAATTCGATAGTGTCATAACTCAAAAAGCTAAACTCGAGAAAAACGGCTTTAAAGTTTTAAATTTATATATCGTTACCTTAATTTACATAGGCCCTAACCAACAAATTTTTTTATTTTACAGGAGCAGTAAAAACGTTATAAAAAGAGTATCAGAAACAGGTAGCGCTTTTTAAAAAATGGCATGTAACTCCGTTGATATTGGTACTAACAATCTAAAATTTTTATTGAAGGTGTATTTTAATACATGCTACCAAAATCTGTGAAAAATGCAGTTTCGAAACAAAAGTGTTGGTTATGGCCTTGGTAATTAATTAACGATATACATACATACAGTTACGGTCAAAATAATAGAATCAAAATTCAAAATGATGCTGTTGGCAACTTATATTTATTTTTTTATTGTTAATAATTTTCATTTAAAATATGGGTTGACCTATGTATATCAGATAGCACATAAATAAATGTTTCAAAGAATGTACAAATTTCAAAAAAATTAAACAAACTTAAAAAAATATCATCAAAATTTTAAACTTTTTAATCAGAATATTAAGAACATTTTCGGGTATGCAGTTTTGTAGCTCAGTAAATTTTAGTATAATAAAGTGCAAGTTTCAAGTCGCTAAATAATACCGTTGATTTTTTAGATGTTTTTTTTTTTGTGGAGGGTGTTGCGCATTTTCTTCCATATAAAAGTAAGTTTTGTTCATGCGTTACATGGAAGAAAACTCGCAACACCCTCGACAAAAACAAAATCTAAAAAATGCAAATTTAAAACTGATTTCCGAAAAGTGATTTTGGAGCTCACACAAAGTTTTCCATGCATTTAATATGGTAAAAAAAAACAAATCGTATAAATGGTATAGAATTCTTGAAAATCACTATTTTCGATAGCTTATTTTACCATTTTTTAATATTAACGTTTTTAATGGGTCACCCCATTGCATTTTTCGGGGGATCTATAAGAATAGATAATATTCAAGAATTCTATACCATTTCTACGAAAAATTGTTTTTTTTTTTTTAACATACAAAATGCATGGAAAACTTTGAGCGTCCTCTAAATATTTTTTTTTATTTCACAATAAAAAAGGGGTATAACTTTTTCGGCAAACAATCCTAGGTGGTGAGAGCATTAAAATTCCGACTTTACTTATTTTGGATCACACTAATGTACATACATACATGCTTACAAGAACACTGTCGTCGCCGACTGAAGATGCGATTCCCATCAGAAACTGGCGAAAATGCTTCAGAGAAGAGTAGTGCTGTATATACATTCCGCGGAAATGTGTGATTCTAGTAATTTATCAGTCAGTAAATAGATTCCTTTCGAGCTGGCCCTACAAATTTATCTTTTCTTATCTTATGCCTTCAAGATAAAGTGGCTAGTTTTGTCATTATTTGCATAGCCGTTATCTCAGTCAACGTAATTATAAACGTAGTTATGTGAAAAAAAAACGGGAAACAACACGGCGTATGAGGAACCAATAGCAAGTGATAATTTTATCATAGCAAATACAAGTAAAAAAAAAAAGATTTTAGGAATAATAAATTTGCCGCATTCTGACGACTGATAGAAAGTATATATGTATATTTTGATATAAAGCCGCATACTTAATAACATAAGCATGTACACATGAGCCGCTTTTCTTTAAAGTGGCAGAAGTGGTAGTTTTAGTAAGACACAGGTATTCCGTTTTTTTATAGCTGTAATCATAAATTCAATGCATGATAAAAACATTACAAGGTAAATTCATTCTCTCATTTCGTCGGCCATGATTTTTTTCTGACGTTTGCCAACATTGTAAAATCATATAAAATTTAAAATAAAAAAATTAAATTGTTCACAATTGTTGTTGTTTGAGATTGAAAATGAGAATGTGTGTGTGAGTTTGAGTTTTGATTTTAAAATTATATTGTTGGCAAACGTCAGACTGCCTCTCAATGGTTTTACCTTGTTATGTTTTTATCATGATTCAATGAAGGTCGATTTCTTGTTAAAGTCAACAGAAAGAAACTTAGCTATACAATTTTATCGAATTTTTTTTTTTTATTTTTGAACGGAATAAGTCCACCTAATAATAATCATAAAGCTCTACCCCGAATTACAGCCGGCGACGGTAAAGCGGTCGGCGGTAAGCGAACAGCTGTACATTTGCCGCAGTGAAATCCGTCACAGTAAACACAATTGCAGCGCACGACGGCTTCAGTCAGTTGTCATTTTGAATTGAAAATTAAATATTTTTTCGGTTCGTGCGTGTATGTATGTAGATTTGCTGGAAAAAAAATAAATAAAAACATTGCCAAACTTGTGAAAATAATAAAAAATACCATGATAAAAATATAGTAAGGTAGAACCGCTGAGAGTCACTTTTAAAATTCTTGACGTTTCCAAACAATTTAATTTTTAAATTTACTCACAAACTCACACACACATTTTCATTTTCAATCTCAAGCAACAACAATTTCGAACAATTTCAATTTTTTATTTTCACTTTTATATGATTTTAAAATGTTGGCAAACTTCAAAAAAAAATCATGGCCGACAAAATGAGAGAACGGTTCTACCTTGCTATGTTTTTATCATGAAAAATACTACAATCAAATAGAAATAAATTTAAATCAACCGAAAAATGTCGGCGTTAAAAACGCTGCCGCCGCAAATATGAGCCATTACATATGCCTTTGTGAGTTTTTATTTTGACAGCAGTTAACCGTGTACCGCTTTACCGTCATCCGCTGCAACTCTGGGTAGAGCTTAATAAAAGCAACTTTCTTGCTAAAATAATTACTGATTATTGTGACTTCAGCATACAATACGATTTAGCAGATATTATCTAGCGCCTTAAAAAACAGGTAAATGTGTGGGAGATATCCCTCAAACGTGAGGTTTTGGTCATTCAATCCAGCGATGAACTGATTATGTATAACGTTTTCAGCACATGACGGTTTTGATGGATATGAAAGAGTTGACGTTCTCGCAAAAAATGGGTGCTAACAGAACCTGTATGGTTCACGGCCTTTCTGTCGTCCGTCAAAGGGATACACAGCAGAGCTCCAAAGGGGCAAAAACAATGTGTATAAGAAAGTTATTACAACTTTTAGAGGAATCTCGTTTAGAGGAATCTAAATTTATGTCGAGGGTATCTTTGGATTTTTACAGGCCACCGGTGAGGTCTTCAGGTGCTGTGGCTGACACACATAATGCCATTTCCTTCGTATCATAGGTTTAAGACTTTTACACTTCGGGGAGCGGTTATCGTTTTCGATTTAAATTTGGAACAGATTTGTACATATATAGGTCGCTTTTATTCCTTAAAATATTAACAACAAAAGTTTGTTACCTAAGGGTAATCATTTTATTTTATTTCTTTTCCTCTTTAACAATTTTATTAGGCTTGAGGTCGTTTTTAATGTGGAAAAACAACAATATTTTACAAAATAATGTTTCATTAAAAACGGCCTCAAGCTCAATAAAATTGTTAAATATGATTTGTTATTATGCCAATAAATGCCATAAATCAACGCGCTTTTTAGAGGAGTCTAACTAAACCCTAACTTTATAAAACAAAATTAAAACTAGATTTTCAAGATTTTTCTAAAAAATCTGATTACAAATTTGCAAATTTATTGATTTTTCCAAAGTTTTGTACAAAGTTTAGAAATTTTATTTTTAATTACAAAATTAATTTTAGTAAAGCCAAAGTCTAAAAATTGAAGACTTAAATTTCGTCTTCATTTTTTATAATTTCATAGAAATATCTGTAGTTTAGTTTAACTAATGATTTAAATATAGTTTAAAATGGATAAGAGAACAGCCCTTAGAGAGTTATAAATCATCACCCGCATTGATTAACGTTTGCTAATATTTTTTAAATTAATAGACGCAAACTAAATATGTAATGAACTTGTACCACTTTCAAAAAAAAAACGGCTCATATGTACATATGTAGATTCACTCATGTGTACATGAGCTAGAAAGTAATCGACCTAAAAGTCTCTACTAAAAAAAATGTATGAAAGCAAAGCCCCACCTTTAAGTATGTACACTTTAAACCACATGTAGAAGCACACAGGCATGCAATGATACACCACCAAATAATGATGTTGGCGACAATTTTCGGCATTGGCAGACTTTAATTTAATGTGTGATTGTTTTCTTTTGGCCAATGACGCCAATCCGAAAACAATACACATTTGCATTTGCTTACTGCTTTAGTTGTAGCGTAAAGCGTACTGGCTTTGGAACTTTAATGGGATATATCGTAACCTTCATTTATGTATGTATGTACAAAGAGTCAAATCTATCACTTTTAAATATTGGTTAAATAAAAATTAATTTAATTTAATCGTGAATATCTTAAAACCCTGGCTTTTATTGAATCTGTAGTGGTTTTAAGATGCCATTAATTTTAGTGGGTTAGGACATTTCCATATTAATGTAACGGTAACCATACATAAATATGTATGTACATAGTTACAAGTAGATAGAACCTATGCACAAATATCCCTTTGTATAAATGCGCACTATACGAAGCACGCTTTTATAGCTTTATTGTGATTTCACATTCCCCTTTCCAAGAGTGTGTATGTGTGTATATGCGTGACTATGGTGCCATTTTAGTAATTAAGGTAATACCATATCTCCAACTTGCAGTCATGGACAGCTAACAGCTACAACACAACAATACTGGCGTTGAATTGGCGTCCACCCGGCAAGACAGTTACTTGAAAAGAACAACAACGGGACAAGTGATGTTACTTCCATTAAATTCTGAAATAGACGATCATTCATGGAACATTTTTGTCAAAGAAGGACTTTCCTCTAGTTTACAAACGAATGAAATGATCAAAGAATATGCAAGCCGCTAAGCTGCACGAAAAAACTCGCAACTCTTAACTATCACAGCTGTTTTGCGAACAATATCCCTACAGCACTATGTACATCATTTCAAGTGCGCAAATATCGTATATTACATCAAATTTCTACATCAGATTTGAAGCAATATTTATTAAACAATTTTTTCAAAATCTATAAAAAAATGTTCAACATAAATTATCTTTTTATGTACTTTTACCAAAAAACAAAAAAAAAAATCGATTTCAAATACACACTCTATACATACATATGTACATAAGTACATACATAAGAGCACATGAATTTCCGTTTTACAGCCAAATTTCCTGCTGGCTCCTAAAAGTATGCTTCAATATCCTGTCCAAAAGATATTTGCACTAGAACATAATTCAATTTCAAACACTTTTTTGAGCTCGATTTAAAAAATCATCAGAGCGACGAAAGTGATGATGACCAAACTCCAAAACACTGACTAATGGCAACAACACACTCATGTATATGCACATATGTACATAGATATGTATGTAAATGTACTACCGACATATGCGCCAATATTCTTATTCGGCACACTACACACTGCTCTATGACTGCTGAGTACGAGATGGATGACGTTATTTTTGCTGGACACGAGTGTAAACTACTGACGACAACGCGATTAGGGCGAAAAACGAGATGAAACAATAAACGATGAGGTTAGCTGTTTGCTACTTGGCACTTTGGCATAGCTTAACCAATGTAATGTTGTGGTATTGCAATAGTTGTACAAAAGCTATTAATTCCACTAGCTGAAGTGAAGGAAACTCAGTCAGCCTCAAACAATGTTATGCATTCTCTATGAATGTACCAGTGTTTGTATGTTGATACATACATTTTTGCATATACATATATAAGTATGCATGTATGTACATACAAACATTCTAAGACTTTTGTATTCTTGCAAACATGCTAGCAATGCATTCCAATATAAAAGTTCAGTACAATTGTAGAAGCATATGCAAGCGCCGCAAAATGACAGCATTAGTGGGTGAGGCGATGACGGATGCCAATATGTCGGTATGTAATAAATTATTGTCAGCCTGTTTTAATAGTGTTTGCATGGTGTCATTGATATGTATTGGTGCTGAGTAGTATGTGCATGCCAGCGTATTACTAAGCGGTGAATCGAATCATACGTCCATATAACCGCAAATCGTCCATTGACCAAATATACGTGACACTGGCTTGCATTTAATAGTTTAATTTGTTTCTTCTTTTTGATAGTTTTTATTTTTTGGAGAACAGAAAATTTAAATGCGAGCAGCTATCTCTACGCTAGACACACAGACAAAAACAAAAATAGAATTGAGGTGCTCCGGGCTAGTTGACGGACGTAGCGGTTTGCACAGACCCATGGCGGTCATTTGGCCAGCATGGGAGCACCCAAAAATTTGTAGATCGGCTCCACTTTACTTTTCACCTGCCATGCCTGCTGATTGTCGAGAAAATAGCAATTATACACACATAAACGAACTCTCATTTTTACCTTACGGGATATTCCCATTTCTCATTTATGCAATAATCGCGCAACAACAACTACAACTGAGCTAAGAACAAACACACCAAATGTATTTTTCTTTCGAAGGAAAATGGCACAAACCCCACGACGAAAACGAAAAATGATGAGACACGAGAACGGGAAAAAAGTTCCTCCGATGGCCACGGACGGCAATGACGAAATTCTTGCTGCTCCCTTATGTTTGCCTACTTTAGCAGAATTTCTGCTTTGTGATGGTATTTTTCGTAGTATGGCTTTTGTGCAGGTGTATGAGTATTAGAATGTATAGTGCGGGCTGTGGTGGTGGGAAGGAGTTGCAGAGTGGTAGAGGATCTTCTTTTTGAATTTTCGCTTTTGATGGTCTTGCTCCATATAAAATTTTTACTTAGTTAATTGCTCATTTTAACGTTTTTTCATCGACTTTTCAATGCTTTCACCTTATGATATTTCTTTTTTTCACGAGTGCCTCCTTCCTTTCACGTTCCTCTTCTCAATCCACGACCAATTCCAATTCACTTCGCCTTTTGCCTTTGCCTTTTCACTATTCGATTTTTTCTCGACAGGAATTTTTTTCACACTTTTTTCTTAAACTCATCACTGCACTCTTATTTTCCCGCAGATGTTCAAAATTATTGCATTATGGCAAACGATTCCTCGTCGATACTCCTCGCACTATATAATTATTTAATGAATTTACCTATGCACAGAATACAGAATTTATTTTCTTCTATTCTTCCATTGATGATGAATTTTTCACTTCGCTCGCACTTCAGTCTGCGAGTGACCTTAGAAACAGGCGCAGGGTTGCAATTTTGTCGCTGTCATCGGCAACCCACGTTGAACTAAAACGGAATGGTTGGATTTTTCGAAACGAATACCAAAGAACGTAAATCTTTAACTGCCGTCCCTAAATTGGAGCGCCAAGCGTTGCGTTTTCCATTGTAAACGACTTTCAGCGCACGCTATCTTTCACTTTTTTGTCCTTTCTCTTTCTTTCCACCTTCTGAGACCAACTTCAACACGTAACGCCCTGTCAAAAATTAAAATTCCTTTTGTTCGGCGCTAGCGCTGCGTTATTGTGGGATGCTCCCAGTGTTGCCGTTTTGGTTACTTTTAACCAATTTTGGTTATTTTTTTCTTGCCTGTGAAGTTGTTAAGATATTTCCCATTTTGGTTATTTTTAAAATTTGCTGTAGTTTCTAACTTTTGTATACATACAATAATTAAATCTTTGAAAAATAGTATAAACAAATACATTTATTCTGCTCAATATGGTTATTTAACTAAAGTTATTACTCTAAAATGGCAACTCAAGATTCGACTTATTCCGATAACAATCATGTGTTTACATATGCAAAAGAACAGTAAAAGTTCGAGGGTGCAACTATTATCGGTTCGTGTCTTTAATAAATAGCGGTGAATTAATCGCCAAGTTTTTGAAACGGCCCCGCAGTTACACAATTTCTATGTTCTTTGCACACACCTACATAGTATGTGCCTGAAATGACATTTGAATAATACGAGAGTTATTAAGAAGCCGCGAAAAATTATTAGAATTCCGCGCAAAATTGGTGTTTCNCGTCATTTAGAGTCTGGTAATGTTAAAGATATTAACATACATATGCACCTAATACGGGAAGCCTGATTTTCTAAAATATGTATTTATATATATACTTATATATGAATGTATCTCACTTATTTTCAGCCTTAAAAGGATTTACTTTTCAAAAATGCAAATAAAAACTGATTTTCTTTAGTTTGTAAAATTTGTATATACGTACTATATAAAAGAATTTGTGTTGACCTGAGTTATTAATCTAATAAAAAAATTGGTTATTTTTCCTTACATTTGGTAACTTTTTCGTCAAATCTTGGTTAGAAAGTTCTTTGAGCGGCGGCAACACTGGATGCTCCATACAAATTGTATGGGCAAGAGGATTTTTGACAGTTGTTTGGCGCTTGACATGCCAATATAAGGACGGCAGTAAAGGGCGGTTTACATACGACATTATCTTAGCTTTGTTTCTGAGTTCCGCTTTGACAGATAAGTTTATACAAGATTTTACATTAGCAAAGCAAAGCAAAATCATGGGCAACTCTCAACTTTTGCGCGCTTTGGCAATGCGCTGTTTACATGTGTCTTTTCTCGCGCGCTTGCATTTTCATTTAAAAACAATAATAAGGTAAATATGAATTATTATTGCTAGCATTAATGCATATTATTATATTGTTATCTATTTTACACAGATAAATAATAGAGGAAAAGGAGAACGCAGAAGCCGTCAAAGCTTTTATTGTAGCATACCTTCTACGATTTATACTTTGTTGTCAATGTTCGAAATGTCAAGCAAAGTGAGGAAAGTCGTACGTGAACGGCCCTTAAGAAGGGACAAGTTCTTCCGGACAACTCGCTGAAGTGTGGCGAGTGAGTCTAGCAGATTTGCAAGACGAATTCGCGTTCGTTTTGGCATCAAAAATGAATTTGTCGTACATTTGGATTTGTGGCCGCAAAGAACGTTGAGTTGAGAAAAAGTGATCGATGATAGTGTGGCGAATACTGCGGCAACGCGAAGCAAACAATAAGAAAATGGCAGAATGTTCGATGAATAACGTAGAATATTCGACAACAAGAAACGTCATGTGCAAAGCGAATTTATACAAGGCTGTGTTATACCATGTTTTGACCGACATCGAAAACATGTTTTCGTTGCTAAAACTGGTTTTCGACCTAAAACTTGTATTTTCGTCCATGTGAAATCTGTCAAGCGAAAACCAGTTTTCGCTGAAAACTACTAGGAAACTCACGTTCCACTCATTCCAATCGGTTTCTTCACTAGTTTTTTTCGATTATCTATCGAAGTGGAAGTCATATTTTATCATCTTTAATACGCCATTTCGGATTTATTGTTAATTGCCTGGCCAAAGCAAAATAAGAATGTAAGTTAAAGATTGTGAATAAAAAGAAAACGAAGGAAATGTGTTTTTGTTTTGTTTTTGTGTAGCGAAACTGCAAACAAAAGATGTAAGAAATGTAAACGAAAACACTAACAACCGGTGTGAACAGCCTTCAGCCCACAATCCCAAAACTCGTTTTCAAAGTGTTTTCGTTGGTGGTCAGAACATGGTAGTTTTGTTTGCAGACAAACCGGTTTCGGCGTTGTGCCATATTCAGTGTCATTTTTCCAATGAAGACCGCCTATTTCTCATGGGCTGCCACGATGTAGGGAGACAGAGGTGGCGCAATCAGCAGTACCGCTACTTTGGCCCCTATTATGAGTTGCATTCGATTTTCGACTGTGGTCGAAAGTGCTGAGCGAACGAATTTTCATTTGGTATTATGGCGCTTATTCGATGAAGAATAGCGCTATTGTGAATTTCGCCCGTTTAGGTTGTTCACAATAGTATATTTTTCACCGCTGAGAAGCTTTGTTTACAAATCGAGCAAACTAAATAGTGTGCTTATACATATTTATGTAAATTTGTTCTAATTAAAATGAAGTAAAAAAGAAAGCAAGTTTATAAAAACGTGGTAAAATTAGTACAACGAGTTCTGGTTCAACGATTCGTCGGAGGATGAGAGCTAAGTAAACTGGCCAGGAGTGGCAAATGTTTAAGAGAGTTTAAGTTTATTAGTCTTTCGAATATATTTTGATATAAAATATATTTAAGAAATTTGTCTACAGATTCATTAAAAAGTTCCGACCATCTAAAGAAGCGTTTGTGAGCCAAATCTATTTAAAATATTTTAAAACTATCAACAGCGCTACGATTTTGTTCTCAGAGATCGCGCCAACAGAGTATTGGGATTTTCTTTCACAAGTAAAACCAGCTTTTCGAGCTTGTGTTTAGTATTCACGATGTTAGAACTGCATGAAGTTAATAAAAATTGTTTAAAATTAGTGTCTAGCCGCCAAAATGTAAGAAAACATATACAAAATCATACATTTTTCACAATTTTCTAACACTTCGCTACACCATCGAAAGCAAAATTCTGTTCGACAGAAAATTCGATACTCAACGAAAATTTCGACACGCTTGCATAGCTCATAATACGAATTTCACTTGCGATCTTCGATCTTCGATAGCCAGCGAAGATCGAAAATCGAATGCAGCTCATAATAAGGGCCTTTGTGTTTGGCGAATTTAACAGAATCAGCTGTTGGTGTGACGTCATTTTAGCAAACTGTTTGTATGTATGCAGAGATGTTTATATGTATGTAAATATGGCGACCTCCGTGGTTTGAGAGGTAACACTCTTTCTCTCCTCCATCTCCAATTATTCTTTCCTTTATCTACACTATTCGTTGCTATCTTGACGTCATCACCCGCAGGAATGCGCAATCTTGTATTCTATCATTCTTGGTGGGCTGCAATATATGGCAGTGCTTATTGCTTGACATCTATTGCCGGCAATTCGATAGTTTGACAGCCATATTTTCATTTGAAAGAAAGCTTGCTGGTGGTAACATCGATGAAATTTTGATATTAAATCAAAATAAAAATCAGTTCCCTATTGGATTATTTATGATTACGTTTTAGGAAATTATTCACAAAGTTTTTTAAAGATTTAAATGTTTTTAAACACCGAAATTGAGAGAATTGGGGTGTTCACAGTTCGTTCCAAATACCCTGCAAAAATCGTTGGACCATGTAGTCTATTTGTGGTAAATTGGAGTACTTACAAAAGTGTTCCTCTGTCATGCTGTAGCGGACCAACTCGTGTCTCTGTGCCAGCTTATTGTTTGTTATCCGATCACTGCTCGTGTTTTAACGAAACGTGATTGAAGTTGAGCATTTGAAAGCACATTTGCATGTCTGGCTGTAGCTGAACGTGTAGAGATGCTCGCTGTTAGTTCTTAGCTCCCAGCATGTTCGGGTTCGAATACCGTCAGAGGCAACATGTAATTTTTAATTTTTGTCTTGGTTTTTATTAATTTCGAAAAAGCATTTGAGAAGTGAAGAACAAAAGCGTGTACAAACGAAAAAATATAACAGCAATGCCATTGTTAATATGTTGGAGTAGTTTTGTGCTACTCTGATGTAATGCAGGGATGGAGTATATGGCCTGCCCTAGGACATCGCAATGTTAATTGGACCATATTTTTTATATGAATTGTGGTTAATTTTGGAGTACTCTTTGGTCCTTAGGAAGTACTCTTTACACGCATGCATGGAGTAGTCGCGATTTTTGCAGGGTAGTGTCTGAAAATGTAGACGTCTACATTTTAAGACGTTTTCTAACCGTAAAATCTGTGGTGTTGTTGTTTCCCATACAAAATTGGAAAACGACGCCGTCTACATTTTGTCACACTCAAAGGTATGTTTTTTACGCGTCTACATTTTGCGACCTCGCAGCAGGGTTGCATTATGGCAATACTTATCACATTTTTTTTTATTTATTGGGCACGTTTTCTGTATTTGCATTTAATTTGAGAGGAATTTCTGATGAAAAGAAACAAATCAAGGAAAAGAAATAACAAATATTACGAATTGGTAATTAAGTTAAATAATTACAATTTTTCAGAAACAAAATCGAAAGGCGACATATAAAAAATGCACGCAAGGAAGAAATGTCTGGCAACACCAGCAAAGTTTTGAGACGATTTTGCGACGACTGCTAGAAAGGGGTGCTCACAGTTTGATGCTAAAGATGTCTCAAAATGTAGACGTCTACATTTTCAGACACAATTTGGAACGAACTGTGAACACCCCAAATGTTGTCTGGTGGCGTCATGCAGCAAATGCTTATTTCAAGACATCTAAGTGCCCACACACAAAAACTTGCAATCA